ATCTTTTCAGAAAGGTTGAGCAATAAGGCCTGTTGAAGGAAAACCTTATGGAAAAAGGTATATTCATCGTTGTATGGACGACGTGAAGCAAGTGTATAATGATGGAAATGTAAGTGATAAAAAATGGGTCCTGGTCGCATGCTTGAGAAGCTGAAAATTAAATACTTTTATACCTCACATTAAATTATAATCTGTCCAGAAATATTACGTTTCTATCTTTAGGTCGAAATTGATTTATTGAAAAGTTTAAAGAATATTTTTAGGTATGATTCCTGAATTCGAAACTAAAGTACAACATTTGTTGGAAATGTTTACGCTGAGCCAGTTTTAAACAAGACATTAGCCAATAATTCTTAAAATATTCCTCTCTTAAATGCTGGTTCTGTAAATTGTATAGTTTCTGTGTTCTTGTTGCACAGCGCCGTCTACTTCTCGTCAAATACTCTATAACTAAAATAAAATAAAACTCATGAATAGTAATGTTAACATTGGATTATTTGGTGACCTTGTTGATTGATAAGTGTTTGTTTTGAAATTTCTCGCAAAGCTAACCGAAGGTGATTTGCGCTAGCTGTCCCTAATTTAGAAGTCATGGACTAGAGGGAAATCAGTTAGCCAACACCACCTTCCGTCAACCACTAAAAGTGGAATTAAGCCTCACGTTATAGCCCCCACGGTGATAGGATTCGAACTCGCGACTCACACATTGCCCGTCGAGCACCTTAACCACCAGGCCAGAGAGAAATGTTCTTTGTTTACCACCATCACTGATCTGATGACCTTATCTCGGATTTATTTTGAGAACTTATAATCTGTGAGTTGTCACTTTTCGTACTTACGTATGTTATAGTAAACGTAATATTTTTGATTAGATATGTTTTAAAGCCCATTTTAACAACAAAAATCTAATTTATGTTTTTGTATTCTTAGTTTCATTTCTTTGTAATTATCCGTGTTTTTATATGTTCCCACTTTTATCTTCTAACTCAGTTTCTAAAAAATTACAAAACAACAATAATAATAATTTCAGATCTAATGAAAAATGTTTCTTTGGGTTTCTAAAGTACGTTCATGTGCATAATGTTAAAAAAGCCAAGATTTTCAACGAGACTACTGTACTCTCTCACCTTCAAAGTAAAAAGTTTCATTCCACCGGGGATTTAGAGTTCTATGTTTGACTTTTGTCTCCAACTTGTGTTTCTTATCTGGGAGTAAAAATACTTTCACATACGGGTCACTTGTCCCTAAAAAGATACATCTGTTTTAATTGGGTGATATATTTTATTAACCACAATAAACATACATGACAGAATACTACATCGAACTAGCTTTTGGAAGTGTAATAACTGATAACTGTATGTAATGTTTACATCTTCAATATTGGTACTATTTTAGTAATTATCTATAAGATATACGGTCATATTTTTGGTTCACCTTACAGCCGAGTTTCTTAGGTTTAAAACCAAAATGATTATAAAACAATACATTTAACTACAATGACTTTTTCTGTTCGCCTTATTAAGGCTTCGACAAATCAAACTTATTTGTTACATTTTTCCTTGTAAATTAAACTATCTAGTAAACGTAAGCATCAGAACAAATACAGCTGAGAAAATATTATTTAATTTTTTAGAAATACCTCCTCCTAAAAATGTATTCCTTTTTAGTGTAAAAGTCAAAGAAACCAATTAGCTTAACATTTTTAGTGATAAAGCTTAAGACAACATGTTCCTTTATTTATTAATAATTCGTATTTCTTTGTTCATTTATTAAATTTCGCGCAAAGCTACACGAGAGCTATCTGCATTAGACGTCCCTAATTTTAAAGTGATGGACTAGAAAGAAGGCAACTAGTCCAACAATCAATACCACTCAACGCCAACTTTTTGGCTATCCTCTTACCAACGAAAAATGGGGTTGACCGTCAAAGTACAACGCTCCCCACGAGTGAAAGAACGAGCATGTTTGGTGATGGGATTCGAATCCAGGATTTGAAGATTGTGAGTGGACTACCCTAACCACAAGCCATGCCAGGCCAATAATTCGTAAAAAAAATGTATTCTTATTTATCAGTAGCCGATTAAAATAAAGAACGAAGTTCTTACAGTGACAACTTGTAAACAAGGAATTGTGCTTCTGTTACTGATTTTTTATATCAATATTCTAAATGTTTTATAGATTTTGTCATTACTTTTTTTTTAGTAATTATTTGTGAAAATAATTTTGATCTATTTTTAACTTTTTTGCAAAACTTTTATATAATCGTCATGTGATAAATGATATGAAAGTATTGCTCATTTATAAGAGATAAAATAATAATAAGAATAATTCACCTATTAAAAAATATACGAAAAAAAATGGTATGTTTTCATATGTTAGTGATACACTTTGATTGTTGTATTCTGTAAATATATTAGACGAATTATATAATAATTACACATGCAACGAAAATCAAACTTTTAAAAACAGTCAAAACCTGAGCGTTTTCTGACATAGCTTACATCGATATTATTACTTATTCAGTTATATCCTATGAGAATAGAGGATAAAATACTTTATAAAATTTATTACAACAGATATGAAATAGAAAGGTACTACCTAAAGCACTTTCATAAAAAATATCATTATTTCGTTTTTTATTCTGTTGAACTCTTCACGCCCCCTAGTGGCACAGTAGCATGTCTGCGAACTTATGTTGCTAGAAACCGGGTTTCGATACCTCTGGTGGGCAGAGTACAGATAGCCCATTGTGTAGCTTTGTGCTTAACTTCAAGCAAACAAACTTTTTACAACACATAGATCTGGGGTGTAGATTAAGAGCTATAATCGATTACAGCTGCCAATATAAAACTAATTTCACAAACTATCGCTAGAGGGCACGAGAATATTTCCCATAATAATATCAAAGCTGCAGAAGTTATAACCTATGTTTATTTTAATTTTGTGTGTAATGTAACTTGTTATGTGTATATGGTAATTAATACCCTATAAAGAAACGCTCATAAACTAAGTAGATTACGTAATTGTCAATTTATACGAAGTAAACCTGTTTTATAAGCTAACTTTAATATTTGGCAATTAGGCTTCTCATTTTCGACGTTCTTTTATGGTTCGAAGATGCAATATTTATTTACTGGACATTAAAGTTATGACATCAATGTCTATAAAAGTGAATTATGTGTGTTTTATCCATAAATTGTTATTACACGTGTATAAAACAAACTGTTGTGTGTTCTGAACATCAAGCTGTGACGTTCACTCTATAAAGTTATCTGTTTATTGTTGTACAAACCTTCCGTCGCTACAATCATAGAGTCAAATAATGCATGTTTTACAGGTTCGTCTATTACGTCACAGCTTGATGTTCAGAATATACAACAGTTTGTTTTACACACGTGTAATAAAAATTGTAACACTAGAGTTTGATTTTGCTTGCATATAGCCCTTCATTGGCTCAGCGGTAAGTCTGAATGCGTATATCACTAAAAACCGTATTTCGATACCATTGGTGAGTACAGCACAGATAGCCCAATATGTAGCTCTGTAGTTAACCACAAACAAACAATACTTACCTATAATATCCTTTGCTGGTAAGTGCCTGGCTTGTAGAATCTTCAGTATTAGCGTGGAATTAGGGAAGTTATACTCCAAACTAAACTGTATGTATCCGGCTGGTTCGTCCGGCTCAGTCATAGCACTAGCTATGTCGGCGGCCTCTTCCTGCTGCTGTATAGGAACAATCAGAAGAACTTCCTCGAAACACTGAATACTGTTTTTTTTCATAGTTTTTTAAATTATATTAAAGATTTTGGTTTACCAGCTTCGGTGATTTGAAAGCCATAAAAAGCCGAATTAAATTAGAAAATAAAGAATATTTCGATCACATCTAAAAATCCTTTAAACGAATTTTAAGATGAGGTATTTTACTACTTTTTTAGATACCCCAGATTATAGATCTTCAAAAGTTTATAAATATTTCTAACTTTTTAGAATATAGAAATTTAGATAAATACACTTGTACATTAAAAAAAAAATTAAAGTAGCTTTTACAGTTTATCGTAGAGAGAAAAATAATTACAGCAACAAAATCATACTTATGAAAATCACTACTATAAAATCCAGAAGAAAGTCTTTATTAAAATACACAACGTATCGGCTTTCATCTTTCTCAAGGGTTAAGTATCCAGTGTTATCGTATTTACAATTCAAGTGATACGTTATAGAAAATAACACTTTATAACAAAAAATATTCCAGCACGAAAAGATAGAAAAATGATATAAGAATGTATGGATGGAAAGATATTTTACAGGAGAAATATAAATCGGAATATACACGTATACAACATACTGAAAAATTAGGCAATAATAAAGGTTAAAATGAAGTTTTATATTTAATAACAACAAATACAATACATTAAATTCTCATTAATACCCTTATTATTGGTAAATATCAAGTCAAAATGAAAACAATTTATGTGAGTAAAAAAAATAGTCTTGAACTAGAATCAGCCAGTGTAAGATGATAAATGGTAAAAACGACTGAAAGCTGATCTATCGATATTTGGTTTCTATTTGTGGCCCAGTTTCTATTCTTCTTCGTTTCTTGCAAATATTCTAATTGACTTCAATTTGTTTTAGGAACATACTTGTTACCTTGGGTCAGTTTACTTAGATTACGCAAGTTTGTTCTGAATTATTAATACTAATGTGGGCTTTCATTTGTTTGGTCTGTTGCTATGATGTCGAGTTGATGACAGATGGTGGGCATATCGTATAATGTCAAGCATATATGTTGAATGGTAAGTTAGTGAACCTGTTTGTTGACTATTGAGACGTTGCTGACTGGTATGGCGACAACCTGGAACAACTGTGTTAGACTCGATTGTTGTTGGACAAAACCATGTCGAGAGGGAGGTTAACTCATAAAAACAAGTCGTACATGAGGTAGTTTCATCTATGTGCCGCATTAATACAAACTAAATCACATTTCCACCAAAAAAAAAACACCATTCCCTCCTTTTCCTTCACCAACCTTAAATGTCTTTCCTAGATCAATCCAGCTAGCTCAGCTGTCTTATATGAAGAAGGATAATTAATATTCAAAAAAACATGTTCACTGAACAAAATAAACGAGCTTCACAAACTCAAGATCCAACAATCCACATTATTCCTCATCCTCTTACGTTCACAAAGAAGAAAAACCAAACGTTTGGCTGCTCAGACAAATATCGAAGAAATATTTGCCACTTCTGAAGACTGAGATACAACTCCTGATGATGTAATGTCTTGGTTAGAAAATATTCTCGAAAAATCCACCCTAGCTTAGACGTCCTTTTTACTAGTCTTTCCAACAACTCTGTAAGATCTAAGTTAGTTGATTATTACAAACCTTTAATAATCAAACTGACTCATTTCTCGTCACATTAACTTTATCTCAACGTATTGGAGAACATATCAATATATCAGCTCTAAATGTTCTCCAGCTATTCGGTTAGAGTAGCCCACGAACTGGCGGTGGGTAATATTGACAATTGTCTTCCCTCTAGTCTATCACTTTAAAATTAGATACGGCAAGTGCAAATAGCCCTCGAGTAGCTTCACGCGAAAATTCAACAAACAAACAAACCTACATCATGAAGGGAGGATGAAACTGACCATCCTACGTCACCAAACATCGAACTAAACAATAGCAAGAGAACTGCTGGACAAAGTATTTACTTTCACTGTCTTCAAAAGAAAATTATGTTATGTTGTAATTTTGGCTGTTTGATTTTTGATCATCCTAATTATTATATTACATGAACTGCCTCCGATAGCTCAAAGGTAAGATTCAGAGCCTATAATGCTGGAAATTGGGCATTGTGTAGCTTTGTACTTAACAACAAACAAACTTACACCTAGTGACTCTCTTACGAGATTGTTTACTTACTTATTTTATATTTTCATTTTGAGTAAATTTACTTATTATGATATAAGTGTATTGATATAAATGTTATGTATCTTTATATTGTTTTGAAGCACAAATATTTTTCTTTAACTTTATTTTACTTAGTTTCTAATGTTGTTTCTTCCTCCCTGTATTTTTTTCCTATACATTGTTGCGTCACTTTCCATCGTCTTTCTAGGTATATTATTTTAAATCGTGTGTAATGCTAGTTCATATTTGTTAGACATAAGTTAAAATAAATAAACAAACGACAGATTTCATGTATTAAATTTTCTATATTATTTTTACCAAAATTTCGGACAACACCTTCTTCGGGATGTTTAATCTGGTGTCGTTCGAAAGATATGATAAATTTTAAAGAAAGAATAATTCTTTTCTGGATCTCGATACACTAATGATTCAGTTTCTCTATAAGTATTACTTCTGTATATTTTCTATCCAGGAATGTCGTTGTCCTTTTCACTACTTTCGTCGTAATAACTTCTGCCTAGGAATGTAATCCATGTTTGGTTAAATAACATTCCGCCAAAGCGCAAGCATTGTCGCTACTTTGGATTATGACTTTAACAGGCTCTGAAATCCTGGAATGGAATTCTCTTACACTCTCTTCAATATAGTAAGGAACTTGTTGCTTTAAAACAAGGATTGCATTATTGCATTCTTTTAAGAAAAATAATATAAACAGTGTTATATCTGAAGTTAATCGATTATATATATGTATTTATTTTAAAGCATATTTCATTTTTGGACTATGTTAATTTCTCTGACGTATCATTTGAATTGTGGGTATGAAAATATTAAACATTTAACTTTCGAGAAAATCAGAGGCCGAAACTTAGGGTATTAAAGAAATTTTCCTTACAAAGTTTGTATTCGTGATTTTTAGAAAGATTTCTCACCTCAAGTTTGCACTTAAACATCGAAACTTTAATAGCAAAAACATATCTATAGCTATAGCATACATGGTTATTACACATGCATTATTTTATTGTGTTTCATAGTTCCCCTTTCCAAAGCAGTGAGGTGCTTAAGCAAATTACTAGCTTTTGGTTTCTTTAAGCAACAGGTAGAGTTTTGTGTCCGTTGCAGATTGTCTAGTTTTATTACAGGAATATACCAGCGTTTAACTCTAAGCTAGATTATTTTTATCGACCAGACAATAATCTGCATACTTCCCGCTAGTTATCCGAGGTAACTAGTGCAAATTATAAGTTTTTGTGTGTTAAAACGTCGACGCTAATTGGTATATTCAAGTTCATGCTTCTGTTAGAGAGCTTGAATTTGTTTTAGTTTTCACTTAACATTCAACGGGAACTATAGTAGTTCTCGCTTAACGATTCTTAGTGCATTCTTCACTTTCTGTAAGAGTTCAGTAGAGATCTTTTGGTGTCTGCTGAGCTACTTTGTTTTACTTTTACTTTTAGCGAGAGCATTAAAGCTTCCGCGAATTTCTGGGCGTTCGCCTTCTGCGGGACGAAATATTTAAGTATTTTGGTTATATTTTCGTTTTCGTTGCCAAAACAACAGGCTCTCCTTTTCGAGGAAACATGAACATGAAATTTAAACTGAGTAGGTAGAAAGTACTTGGAGTTCACATGTTAGAGCGTGTAGTTTTTGCATAGTGTAATTTTTTTACTTTAACCTCGAGATGATTTTCATTTAACATTTTTTTCAGAGTTTAATTTACATGGGGAAAGAATATGTACTAACAAAAGCCAGTTTGTCATTAATGTCTTCTTTGTCGCTCTTACTAGCCCTACACATTTTATTCTAATTAACACACACGTATCACTTGCCTAGTGTTGTAATGTTTTGTCTTGGGCATTGTTAATAGTGACTGAACATTTGTTATTTGTTTGAATCCGAGTTCTGCATGTTCATCTGCAACTCGAAGTGAAATACATCCTAAAGCCTGAGAATCTTTTGTTATTAGAGGTTTGAATTTCTACTCTGCCGGTTAATCCGAGAGATACCTTATATAAATAAGACATAAACATACAAAGACGTATATAGAGTGTGTATATGAACTAGCTGGTCTCATTACTAGCAAGTATATCTAATAAAGGGGTTGGGCACTATTTTCCTGAATAACAGCCCCAGTAAGACGAGGCATAGAATCCACAAGGCGCTGGAAGATGTCCTGAGGAAGTCCATCTATATTCAGTCACTAGAAGTTCATACCACAGATGGTTAATTGTATTGAGATCCTGGGATTGTGATGACTATGAGAGATGCCAGAAACCTCTGTTATGTTTTCTTAAATCATCCATGCACAATTTCGGCATGATGGATGGAATCATAGTTGTCTTGGAAATAGCTTTCTCCATCAGGGTACACATGAAGCATCGCTGGATTCACTAGATCAGAACTGGTGCTGAGGCAAACTGTGGCATTCATGTTGCTTTATAAAGAGAATAAGGGGCTCAGGGTATGCCAGGAAAACATGCTCTAAACCACGACTCCATCCTCAGAGATCTGAACATATGGGACCATACAAGAGTGGTGATTTATTATTATTTAGTTAGAGCAAGTTAAGTTCAGTCAGAAAAAAGTTAGTTAGTGAAAGAAAACGTGAAGTTAGCCGACGTGTGAGTGATTAGCTTTTCTATAGCGTGTTTCACAGCTGTATTGTAACTACAGAGATAGGAAAAATAAATTTGTCTTGTCAATCGGGTTCTAAAGTAACTGACCCAACCTGTGTGAACTTTTGATGAAAAAAAAAAAGAGACAGTTATTTAAAGTTCTGGATATAACTGTGGTAAACAACAAAAGTTAAGTGAAGTCAGAAAAAAGTGAAGTTAGTGAAAGTGAAATTAGACTGTGTGATTGCTAGTTTAGCTGTAACAGGCAATATTTAAAGTGAGTTTTACAGTTTAACAGAGACATGGAGAAATAATATGTCTTGTCAAAGGGTGTTCTAAAGTCATTGGACCCGCCTGTGTGGACTTTTTACAAGAAAAGAGAATTATTTAAAGTTTTAGATACAACTGTGCCATCCTATAATGTAAAATATTTTTATACATACGTTTGACTTGCTTTGAATATATTATTTTAAAACAAGT